AGAAATGACAAGGTGGATAGTTTCAGAGAAAACATGGCAAGACCCATGTGAACTGATGCAAAGTGAAGTGAGAAGAACCTGGAGATTATTGTGCACAGTAATAGCAATATTGTAACAATGATCAACTGTGAAAGATTTGGCTACTGTTATCAAGACAACGATACAAGACAATTTGGAAGGACATGATGAAAATTGCTATCCACCTCTAGAGAGGGAATTGATGAACTCTGAGTATAAATGTTTTTGCTCTTTCCTTTTCTTTTCTTTTCTTTTCTTTTCTTTTCTTTTCTTTCTTTCTTTCTTTCTTTGCAATATGGCTAATAAAGAAATGTTTTACATGGTTTCACATGTATAATCAATTGATATCATTTTGATTGCCTTCTCAGTGGGTAGGAAAGAGGAAAAGAATTTGGAACTCAAAATTTTAAAATAAAAGAATGTAAAGCTAAATAATTTTTTTTTAATTTCATTCTTCATAGAGGAAGTCCATAGGGTTCACTAACCTGGGTTCAGGACACAAAAATAGTTGAGAACCCCTGGACTAGTATCTCAGCTCATTACTCACAATTTATCTAACAAACTTCTCCAATTTACAAAAGAGATTTTGTGCTCTCTGCTATTGAGGGGTAGAGGAGGGTGGGGAGGGGGATGCTCATCTAACCCTATACTTACATGGCAGACTCATCAAAAGGAATCTGGAGTTTCTGGCTGAGCATAAGGAAACAGGGGCCAATTTATCAACGAAGATAAATCTCAAACCTGGCAAAAGGCAGGATTCCATTATCGCAATGCATGTGTGGTTAAAAAAGCAAAACATAAGAAAGGATTATACCAAGCCCTGGGCTCCTTTCCTGCTTGGGGGAAGGATTCTTTTCTCCCAGGGTGGCAACCTCAGAGGTATCATAATATAGTGGAAAGTATGCCAACTTAAGAGTCAGAGGGCCTGAGTTCAGATTCTGGCTCTGCTACTCTCTTTAGGGCCTAAGTTTCTTCATCTGTAAACCGATAACTCTCAGATCCCCTCTAGCTCCAGATATGTGATCCAGAACTCTGGAACTGGACTATGGAATTCCAATTAGCGATGATTCCACAGGAAGAAAAAAAAAGGGAGTATACTACATACTGATTTTTTTTTTGATAGCACTCAAATTATCAACAATTAGCATCCTTTCTGTCAAGAAGGCTGGCAGAATTCAGAAGGGCCGATGCCATCTAGACTTGAAAGGTAAATACATCAGAAGCAATGGGATTACCCCACTTCTTGAGGATCAAAGGCCCTATGAATTTCAGCCCTCACTCTCTTGGTTTCTCTAATTGTTATTGGATTAAGTCTAACGGATGAATGCAGATGACTATTTTTTTGGTTTTGCATGCCCAAAATTTTCTGGTGTTTTTATTTTTTTAAAAACCACACAGGCGTTCGGTATTTTTCCCATGTCACCTGGCAGTTCATGAAAGCAAACCTCTGGCTTAGCAGGCATGTGGTGTTTGGGACCAGTGATGGTCTGGCCTACCCTTCTACAGAGTGAAACTTAGAATATCACAGATCTGAGGATCTCAGAAGCCATCTATTCATACAGAACACCACAGATTTAAAGCTGGAAGGGGCCTTAGAACGCCATCAAATCCAACCTCCTCATTTTACAGATGGGGAAACTGAGGCATGGGGCAGTGACTTGCTTCTTAGAATCACACAAACAGTCACTGCTAGGGGCAGGATTTGAGCCCAGAGCCCACTGACTTTAGAGTTAGTATTCCTTGCACTGTACCACGACACTGTATTTAAAATGCTGGCTATAATCATTCCAGAGGGGAGGGAGGATTTCACAAGCTGTGCTTTTCAGATACCCTGTCATTACATGTCCCTGACAGTCCTTGGGAGCCGCACTTAAAAGGTACAGAGGGTGCAGGGGCTGCCACGTCACATGCTTTCTGGTTTGAGAGACAAAAACAACCGTGTCACTGCAGAATGGCTACCCAGATGATGTACCCGGCTCCCCATGGTGACAGCCGCTGTTCCCCAGGTGAGAGAGACAGCCAGCAACAGCCCTTTTCTCCCATTCCAACCACGTGGGCTGGAATGATGCCACCCCCATTCTGCCAGCATCCCACAAAAATGAATGAGGAGGGATGGATGGTGTCTGTTTAGAGTTCTTGCCTGTAAACAGTTAAACTGAAAAACACGAAGGGGCATGTGGTCCAGTTTACTTTAAGGAAGCTGGCAGAATTTAGAACAACGGCCAATGCTATCTAGATGTGAAAGGTAAATAAATCAGATGCAATGGGATTCCCCCATGTCTTGATCAAAGGCCCTACAGTATTTCAGCCTCAGCTACCTCAGTTTCTCTAACTGTTACTGAATTAAGTTGAATCGCTGCATGCAGAAGGGAGGGGAGAAGATACTAGGAGAAATTTTGATGATGTAAACCAAAAAAATCAATAAAAATTTATTTTACCTATATCAAATTGCTTGCCATGTCAGAGAGAGGGGACAGAAGGAGAAAACTGAGAGCTCAAAAATTTAAAAAACAAATGTTAAAAATTGTTTTTATATTTATTGGGAAAAAATAAACTTTTTTTAATAAAAGTTTTAAATGCATTTTAAAAAATAAGGAAGGTAAGAACTTTTATTGACCATCAGTCATGGAATCTTTTTTTTTCTTCAATTATCAGAGTGGCAGCCACTCACAGGAGATACCTGTGAAAGTGCCTAGCACACATACCCAGCATATAGAAGGCATCAAAAGCTTATACCTTCCCTCCCTCTTTGTGACTCCTCTGGCTTGGGCAGCATAAAGACACAGCACAGTAGAACAGAAAGAGCTCCTGGAATTGAGGTTGGAGGATCTGGGTTCTAATTCTGACTCAGCCACTTAGCAGCTGTGTGATTCTAGGCAAGTCACTTTTCCACTCTGGGCCTCAGTTTCCTCCCTGTTAAAAAGACGAGACAGATCCTAAAAAGCAAGTCTAGTTGAAAGAGGGGTTGCTCTCTAAGTCAAATTCCGGGTTGGCCCTACCTGAGACTCTCTTGACTTACCTTCTGCCCTATAACCCTGGAGGTGGGTGGACTCTTCACACTCAATGCCACCCTATAGCTAAAGCCCAGAATGTGTTGGGGTACACCTGGGCCCAGAGGTATTGGGGGTAAGTCTGTATCTAAAGAAAAGTAAAGAGAGCCTCCTGGTGGCAACCTGCCGGGGGTTGATCCCCTCGATGCCTGGGTTTTATCCTCCTGCCCACATAACAAAGTGTCATTTTACAAACATCAAATGTAGCTTTGGTAAACACATGCGCACGCACACACACACACACACACACACACACACACACACACACACACGCCAGATACTGTGCTAAGTACTAAGTGAGGGTAGGATTGGAACCCAGGCCCTCTGATTCTAAATCTGGTACTCTTCCCCTGAATAGGTCTCTCACAGAAAGGACTTAATAATATAAACTGCTTGAACCAAGGTAATAAATTAATCACCAAAACATTTCAGTCTATAAAGTGAGGCATTTGAAATGAGAAAAGGAAGTTTTAAGGGCATTTCTGGAGAAAGAATGGAGAAAATGATTATTACATGTCCCTACATTACTGAGAGAGCTTCGGTTAGGAACTAGATAAAAGTACTTTAGATATCCAAAAAAACCCCAAAAGGTTCTTTCTCTCTGTGTGTACATATATATATATACACATATACACGCACATATACATACACATATAACTATGCAATGTTCCTATAACAATATTATTATATATAGGGCAATATTCCTAATCATGCTTATAATTATTATCATTAGAAATAATAACAGTAATAATCAGTTTAGTTAGGTTCCCTTCTTCAAGTAAAGGCTTCTTCTTGGAAAAAAGAGAAAACCACCTCTTTTTCTCACCCTACTGCCTTGAAATTCTACTCTCAATGCCTTTTATACAGGACTTTATAAACAAAGTGGCTGCATTTCTGAATCAATCAAGCATTTATTAAGCTCCTACTGGGTGCCAAGTGCTGTGCTAGATGCTTGCAATAAAGAAGGAAATGGTCTCACAAATGGTTTTCTTTCTTTTTCTCCATTTCTTTTTCTTCCTTTTTTCCTTCATTTCTTTCTTTGCTTCCTTCTTTTCTTTTTCTTCTTTCTTTCATTTCTTTTCCTTCCTTCCCCTTCTCCTTCCTTTCTTTCTTGTTTCCTTTCTTTCTCACTGAATGGAACTGAATATTTGAAATCAGGACCATCTCAGAAAATCTGGTCCGTATGGTTGCCATGCTCATGACATCAGGTTTCGGATCCCAACCCAGACGTTTCTAACATGAGCCTGGCTTGACTCAGCCTCAGCTCAGAGCGGGAGAAAGGGCACATCACGGCCTGACCCAAGCCCTGGTTTTTTGAGCAGCTGCAGGACCTTTCCACAGCCCTAACAGCCCACTCCATTCCTTTCTCCCAATAGAATTTTGCTCTTTCTATGCCTCATGGCCAAGGCTGCAGGAAATGCCCCTAGCTCTTTCTGCTGAGAAAAAGCATGCTCTTCAACCCATCTTTTTCACCTCTAAAGTCTTCACATTTCACCATTACATATTCTGTTTCTCCTAATTCTATTTCTCTTCATTTGGTTAAGTTGTCAAACCAAATCCAAATTCCCCAAATCAGCACTTGTCTGAAAGAAACGACTGCTTTTCAAAAGGAGTTTGGACATTAACTCATGAGGGTAGTCTGTATTAACTTACTGTCACAGAGAGGAAAACCAAAGCTGATGGAGCACATTAATTTTCTAAAGCAACAGAAAATGAATCGTAGAGCCCAGTTACCAAGGAGAAAACAGAAGCATCTACCAAGGACACTAAACAGCAACTCAGAGCTGCATAATGTCAGCGTCAACCAGCTGCTGGAAACTGAGTGACCCACAATGAAACAAACATACCACCACCACCCCTTCCCATGGATGGCTATCGGATGCACTGATCTCTAGCTGAATAATTTTTTTAAATAAATGATCAATTACTTACTGCAAGAGCTCTCTCTCTCTCTCTCTCTTTCTCTTCTGTCCCAAAATGAGAACTACTTTTCTCTAACTTCTGACATGGGCAAGCCAGGCTGTCTATTTCAGGGTTTGGTGCTTCCCTGGGAGGAAAACCACACAGTGCAGTGAGATGGAGAGTTTGTTGAGCAATGATTCACATACGGAAGCAGGCTGGCTTCAGCAGAGCCCTGACACTCAGCACATGCACACGCATGCACACACACACACACACACACACACACACACACACACACACCACTTAGGGAAAGGGAGCAAATGATATTTCCATCCTGCTAAGCTGAATTTATGCTTTCACTTAATTTGTACCTGTGTCGAAATGCAGAAAAATGAAGCCCATTTTAAAGGCGTAGGCTGGTTCTTTTCATGCTGATCTTTTCTCTCAGTATCAAACAGAAAAAAAAATACAAAACCATAAAAAACCCTCACATTATTGCAATAGGTGGTCTGATCAGCCCTAATCCCAATCTGATCCACCCAAGTGAGTGACAAATACACAAAAGCGGGGGGGCAGGGAACGACACAAGAAAATCTATGACAGGGGGTATTTTACCCCCTAAGGCCAAGTGAGAAGCAATGAGGGCAGGTGCCTGGGGGACTCAAATCCTGAAAATCAATCCAGTGTTACTGGGGTTGAGGGGAATGACTGCGGGTACCACTGGCTGAAGGTGGGGTGATGCTTTAAGAATGAATGTTGGAGGGGATAGGAGGCTGGGGGAAGCCCACCCACAGAAACTACCCTAAGGAAGGATCAGAGGCAGACACATGGCAGAGCATCGGGCTCTGCAGGAACAGTGGCCTGGGGGTATTCTGGAGCCTCTCGCTGTGGTCTTACCTAATTCCACTGGATCCTCTGAATCCCCTCTCCCACGTATCTACAGAACCCCTGCCCCTTTACTCCTACAGAGAACAAGCAAATGTTGAACCGAGGTGAGGGCTGTCCTCCCTTTTCCTATTACCATCATGTACTATGTCTTTAAGCACCTAGAGATTTACATGTTGTATTAGAATATGAGCTCCTTGAAGGCAAGGACTGTTTTTTGCCTTCTTTATAGCCTCAGTGCTTAGCGTGCCAGGCACCCAGCAGGTACTTAATAAATGCTTGTTGGTTGACCAATTGGGACCTCAGCTCTTCATCAATAAGGAGAAAGAGCTTGTCCTCCATGCTCTCTGAGGTTCCCTCCAGCTCTAGATTGTTGGTCCTATAAAATAATCCCTGCCCTCAAGAAGCTTACATTCTAGTAGTAGCACTTAGCACAGGGCCTGGCACGTAGTACGTGTTATATAAATGTTAGCTGTTATGTACTCATTCATGTATATGCTGTCTTACTCTTTAGAATGTAAGCTCCTTGAAGGCAGGGGCTGTTTTCTGCATTTTCTTTGTATCCTCAGCAAAATGGGGAGGTGCTTAAAAATACTTACGGGACTGATTTACCAGACAGCAAGAGCCAAGTTTTATTTAGAGTTACCAAGTCAGCACTTAGCTAAGGGCCTGGCACAAATTCATTTAACAAATACATATTAAGCACCTGCTACATCCATTTGGGGTGGCTAGATGGTGCAGAAGATAGATCACCAGCCCCGGAGTCAGGAAGATTTGAGTTCAAATCATGCCTCAGATATGTATCAGCTGTGTGACCCTGGGCAAGTCACTTCACTCTGTTTGCCTCAGTTTCAACAACTGTAAAATGAGCTGGAGAAGAAAATGGCAAACCACTCCAGTATCTTTGCCAAGAAAAGCCCAAATGGGGTCACAGAGAGTCAGATGGGGCTACTGAACAACAGCAACACTGTGGTCCAAGGCACTAGGGGATATGTCTTGCCCTCAAGGAGTTTACTATCTATGAGAGGATATCATGTATAAGGTACATATCTAAGAAACCACCAGATAATTTGTGGAGGGAGAGAAGATTAACTACTTGGGGAGCGGGGTGAGGGTCAGAATAAATCTTGAAGGAAGCTAGGGACTCTAAGAGCTGAAGGTAAGGAGAGAATGCACAGAATAGGGGCTTAACACAGGCTTACAGACCTACTACGCCCCATTCCAAGCCCTCTAAGTCCAATCAAGCTCATCCTCTTATCAACTCCGAACTCATCTTCCAGCCTCCTTGCCTTTAACCCACTCTGCTCCTCCCCCTCAGCACACCCTCCCCCTCCTTCAGGCCAGGCTTCTAACTCCTCCAAGGAGCTTTCCTGACCCTCCAACTAGCCCTCCTCAGCCTCAAGTGCCCCCTGAGGACATCTAAACCATACCCACTTATTCATATCCTGAACATAAATGTATTATTAACTTTCCAAGTGCTCCCCATCCAGACTAGAGACTTCCTGAAGCCAATAGCTTTACATCCATTGGGGTATAATGGAAGGAGCCCTTCCAAAACTGAAGAAAAAAATTTTTGTGGCAAGTTTCTCTGTGGGTAGAGAGGAGGGCCTAGCATCAGGAAGTTATCGTTCAGTTTTTTTTTTCAATCGCATCTGACTCTTTGTGATCCCATTTGGGTTTTCTTGGCTAAGATACTGGCATGGTTTGCCATTTCCTTCACCTCATTTTACAGATGAGGAAACTGAGGCAAATAGGGTGAAGTGACTTGCCCAAGGGGAGCCTTCTTTTCTCCAGGCCTGTCACTCTATGCACTGCATCACCTCGCTGCCCCAGCATCAGGAAGACCTGAGTTTAAATCTGGCTTCAGACACTTTTGGGCAGTCACTTAACCCCGTTTGCTTCTGTTTCCTTATATGTAAAATGAGGATAATGATAACATCTACATCTCAGGGTTGTTGTGAGGACCAAAAAAGATAACAATTGTAAAGCAATTAACACACTGCCTGGTATATAGTAAGCTCTATAATAAATATGAACTATCATTGTTATTATTATTGAAATATATGGGGAACTGAGTACAATTTACGAGAATAAGAGCCATTCCCCAATTGATAAATGGTCAAAGGATATGAATAAGTGGTTTTCAGAGGGAGAAATCAAAGCTGTTGCTAGCCATATGAACAAATGCTAATAATTCAAGAAATAAAAATTAGAACAACCCTGAGGTACCATCCCAGGCCAATGAGATTGACTAAGAGGACAAATGCTGGAGGGGCTATGGGAAAACAGGTACATTCATGCAGTGTTGGTGGAGCTGTGAACTGCTCTAAGCATTCTGGAGAACAATTTGGAACTTTGCCCACAAAGCATACCCTTTGACCCAGTGAAACCCCACATATATACCCCGAAGAGATCAAAGAAAGAAGAAAAAGATCCACAGGTACAAATATATTGAAAGCAAATCTTTGTGTCGTGACAAAGAATTGGAAATTGAGGGGGATGCCCATAAATTGGAGAATGCCTGATTAAGTTGTGGTATATGATTGTGATGGAATACTATTGTGCTAAAAAAAATGATGAGGATGTTTTCAGAAAAAGCTGGAAAGACATATATGAACTGATACAGAGTAAAGTGAGTAGAACCAGGAGAACAATTTACACAGTAAAAGCAACATTGCAATGAAAATCAGCTTTAAGAGACTTAGTATCTCTGATCAACACAATGAGCAACCACAGTTCTGAAGGACTCATGATGAAACATACTCCCCACCTCCAGATGGAGGGCTGATAGACTCAGAAGGTACATTGAAGCACATTTTCTTTTCTTTTCTTTTTTTAAGGAACATGACTAATGTGGAAATTTATTTTGCATCACTGTGTATGTTTATATTGAGGGTTTTTTTTGCCTTTTCAATGAGTGGGGGAGACAGAAAATTTGGAACTAAAAATAATAAATTAGATAAGAAAAAAGAAGGAAGAAAGGAAAGAGGGAGGGAAGGAAGGAAGGAAGGAAGGAGAGAAGAACAGAAGAGAAGGAGCCCTAGCTCCTGAGTCAGAGGATGTGGATTCAATTCCTCCTCTGCTGCTCACTGCCTGTACAGCCTTGAGTAAATCACTTTATTTCCCTGGGTCCCAGTTAACTCATCTATAACACGGCGGGGCAGGGTTGTCAGTTCCCTTTTGGCTCTACACTATGATCCTATGATTCCCCAGCAGTGTCTTACTTATAAGATATATATTTATTCACGTATATACTTATTACTATGCTTATTCATGTATTTCCTGATTAATGTCATCAGCTACCACCCCAGGAAAGGCACATTCCTCCTCTGAAGAAGCACATATGGGATACCCCACCCACTCCCAAGTCTCCAGAGAACTTGAGGACCCCTCCCCAGGCCCAGCAGCCACTTTTCCACCACTTTGGACAAGGGGACTCCTCCCAGTGGCTCCAGGAAGTCTCTCAGAAAAGAAGATAACAACAGCTTAATAATGACTTACATTCAAGTAGCATTTACAAAGTGCTTTCACACAATTTTCTCATTTCATCTTCATTCCATCCCCATAAGGTGTTATTATCCCCATTTTGCAGATGAAAAAACTAAGGCTCAAGTCTCTTTCCAGAGTTCACATTAACTCGTTATTGGCAAAACCTGGATGCATATCCTGTCTTTATCATCTACTACACCAAGCCCTTAAGTCCTATTCCCTTAATTGCAGTCCAGAGACCACTAGTGAATTTGGTTGACTACACATCACTCCCCAAACACACCCTGTACTTTCCAGACTCTGTGCCTTTGCTAACAGCATTCCTTGTGCCTGAAATGTCCTTACAACCATCTCTACCTTTAAAAATAAACAAACAAACAGAAACCTGACTCTTCTTAAAGGACCAGCTCAATGCCACGCCTAGGAAGGTCTCCAAGTATTCCTCCGATATGGAGGGATGCCCCTCTCTTCTGAAGTCCCAACAGTACTCTGTCTGTACTTGTCAAAAGAGTCTTTATGGCCTTCTTTTTTACATTAGAATTATTTGTTCAATTAAATAAACATTTATTAAATATCTATCATATCCAGGCCCAAGCTCGGGAGAGGTCACTGTCACTTAAGAGGAGGGTCAGGGAAAGACTCATAGATGAGGTGGTCCCTACTGAGCCTAAAAAGAAGGCCAGAACCTGAACAGAAATAGAATGCATCAAACCCAAGTGCTGAAGATGGCATAAGCAGAAACATGGAGGTGTGGGAAGCCAGGATAGAAAGCAGCCCACCTAGGTAGGAACGCAGAATAGACGAAGGGGA